CTTTTCTTCCAAGGATCCTCTGGGAGGACTAGAACCTGTGACCTTTCAGTTAGCAGCTGCGAGTGTTAACCTTTTGGAGGTTTCCGAGGCTATACCTCCCTATGGCAGTAGAAAGCCTTAGCTTTCTCCTGGGGAGCGGCTAATGGTTTGGAACCGCTGACCTCGCAGTTAGCAGCCCAATGCATGGCCCACTCTGATGCCAAGTTGAGGGTGAGTGAAATGGAGGAAGGCTCTCAACAAGATGGGCTGGTGCCACGGCTACAGCGATGGGCTTCCACAACGCGACGGTTGTGATGCAGCGACGAGGCGCGTGTTGCTCCCTTCTGCTGGACCGAGGTCCTTAGGAGGAGGAACCAACACGACATGCTGCCCTCTCTGCTTGTCACCAGGTGCTGGCTGGAAGGGCTGAGCCAGCAGGGTCAGGAAGGGCTCAGCAAGATTGTAGAGGCTTCTTTATCCACCCCCACACCGCACTGGGATCATGTTCAAGACCCCAGGGAAGGAGCGTGGGCTGTAAGGGAGCAGGAGCCGTGGAAGCCCAAGTAGATGGAGTACCTGAAAGGAGTCACAGCAACAGAAGGGGCCAGGGTAAGGCTGCACTGAACCCCAAGAAGTCCCAGCCACAGGGGCCAGCAGCAGCAGCAGCACAGAGGACCTGACGGGGCCGGCGCCAGCGCCAGCGCAGGGCAGCTCCCCACCAGCCTCCCTCTGTGCCCAGCACGCCGCCTTGCCTGGGGCATCCAGATGATCTTCTGGGTCCGGAGGAAATGGTACATGGCCGAGAAGCACTCATAGCCTCCCCTCAAGATGGCCACGGGGTGGCTCGTGAACTCCTTCAGGACTTTGCCACACTCGATGGCAGGTCCCAGCAGCAGCCCTAAGAGTGGAGACCAGAGAGAGGAGGAGGTGAAGGCCCTGAGTGCTTGCCGTCTGCCGAGCGAGAGCTGGGCGTGATCGGAACACCATGACTTAGGAAGCAGAGATAGAGAGCATGTCATGTTAATTACACTGATTACGGTCTTTACCTTCATGACATCCATATTGAGTATATTTGTTGCATCCGTTGCTTATATTGGTAGATTCATTGTAACCATGTAAAAGTTTTAAAGCATCTTACCACGGAGTTAATATTTGTGCTTCTTGTTTTTTAATGTAAACTACCCATGAGAGGGAAAATCCCATCACCCTTTCACCCCATTTTCCTACCAACTTTGGGAAGCCCCCTTAGACAGAGTCAGCACTTTTGAGCTAGATTGCACACAGGGCACAACACACTCGTTTAAAGCGCACGGGTCAGTAATTTCTCGTCTGTGCACAAAGATGTGTAAGCACCTCCACTAACTGCCGAACATTGCCAAAACCTCCCAAAGAGACCGCAGACCCAAGAGTAGCCACTCCCGGCTCCCCTCTCCCACCCACCCACCCGAAGCCAAAGCAAGCCCAACCCGAAGCCATCAAGTCCATTACCCCAAAGAGCGGCCGAGACGAGAAGTCTTGACGGAGGGAGCCTCACGTTTTAGTTTCTCCTGAGGACTGGTTGATGGGTGTGAACCACCAACCTTGGCATTAGCAGCCCCTGGTCTGCCCCCAGGGTTCTTCCCCCACTCCCCCACGCACACTGAGTACCGTGAACTTGAGTCTGTCTCGAAGCCCCCTTGTAGGGCTTCCACTTAAGCATGTGGAAGTTGTGGATCTGGAGCATGGTCTGTTGTGTATGTTTGTCGCCATTAGGAAAAAAACAGATGA